TTGTAGTTGAGACTTCCTTCAGATTCAGATTCCTTCCATTCATCCTGGCTGATTGTTGTCTGTTGCTGTTACTGTTGACCAGGAATGTTCATCACATCTGCTTTTTATATGTTCACCTGAAGTTCTACCTTTGATGTTTCTTTTGCAAACTTGTTGCTTTTCACTTGCATGCCTTCCAGTTTGTGGGAAATCAGACATATATATCATCGGCGAAGTCCATATCCTCCACGTATCTTTTGTGGGCCATTTTATGCCTGTCTCCTCGTATCTACAACTTCCTTGAAGGAACTCATGTCCCTTCTGAGATTCAAACCCGCATCACCCAGTGAGTGCTTCAGTCAAAGTCATTACCACTGAGCTATTCAAGCTCGCTATTGACGTCCTGTAAGACTGTATTGGATATATATTTTTTAATTGGACACTAATCAGTAACTAGTGTACTGTGTGTTTGTCTATTCCTATCTTTGGTACAGAATGAGTTCTTTCAGTCTGTCAGATACGTCTTGCTGAGTGGTGAGTGCCAACTAGCACGAAACCTAGGTGTAAGGCTTCCTGCTGATTGTCTCCAGCCATCTAATACCGACAATTCATAGTGTACCGTAATGGTGAGCCACCTAGCATGGTGGCTACATTTTGAATCTTGACTGACTGATAGAATTCAGTCTGCAACAAAGATAGGACTCGACACATTACACTTGTTACTTACTAGTGTTCAATCAAAAAAGAACTTATGTAATTTATTCTAAGTATAATTATTCCATTTGGTTCCGAATGTAACACAGGGCTACAACAACACGTTTCCATTTTAATCTCATCTCTGCAGTTTTCTCTTTATCTGGTCCCACGACTACCCATTAGACCCTTATCTCTTCGTCACACGGTTTCCTACATGTCAAATTTCGATAAAGAACTCTTCGCTTCCCATTCGACTTATACTCTAGCAATGACTTGGCTAGCACTTTTATTCAATAGTCTCCACAGCATATGTCTGATTCATCTCAATATGTGTGTAAAACTTGGCCACTGTGGTAGTAAGTAATTCCATATTAGTTTGTTTATTTGAAACATTGTATAACAGTATTATTTACTGGATGACACACAGTTTCGAACAAAATTTATTACTGTTCATAATCATTTCATGAATTATAATCATACAACTTCGAAACCTGAGTTTTATAGTTTTCTTTACTCTCTCCTATTTGTCGTCGCAGGAGTGGTAGAATTTTCCAGATACCTATCTATCCATGAATATATCTGCCACAGATATATTCATGGATAGGTGGGAAAGCATAGAGATTGAAACGTTCAGTCCCACCCCTAGAGTATGGTGTAGGTATGTAGATGACACATTCACTGTACTTTGAACACAAGATATAGAGAGATTTTTCTAGCATATTAGCTCAAAGGTGGAGGCAATTTAATTCATTTGTGAATTGAAAAGTCAGGAAGAGGAGCTTCCAATGTTAGATTGTTGTGTAAAAAGGAAAGAAGATGGGAAGTTAAACACACACTAGTGTTTACAGGAAACCCACACATTCAAACAGATGTTTGGACTTCCGATCATCCTATCTTATGTCAGTAAAAATAGGATTTGGTGAAATGTTTAAGTAATAGGGTACGAAAACTAAGTAGTACCAAGGAAAATCTAAGACAGGAAGTGATACACATAATTACCCTGATAAATTAGTCAGAAAGTGTGTAGGAAAATGTAAAAATAAATAATGATAATAGTGATAGTGATAATAATAATATTAATGGCGACATGCATGTCGAAAACACACAGGATAATGACAACAACAATAGGGAATCTAAATCATCAGTAGTGATTCCATACAAGGAAGGAACCTCGGAAACCTTACGGTGGAGAATTCTTAACAAGGCAGGAATAAAAGTGACTGGCATTCAAACCACCCATAAACCCGATTAGATGCCAGCTTTCGCGGTTAAAGTTTCCTGTAAAGCAGCCAATTAAACAAAACAATTTAGTTTATGTAATACCCTGCCTTCAATGATTGTCAAGTGATATACATAGGTGAAATTAGTAGAACGGGGTTAGTCAGTCAGACTAGTGGAGTATGAAAACTTAGCAAAATCTAGATTAGTTGACCCGAATAAGATAAGAAATCTAGGGAATATTTCAGTTGTCGCAAGCACTGCATGCAATTACACACAACCGTACAATAGGATGAATGGGATAAGATGACAGTTTCAAAATCGAATGTAATAGCTGGCTGGAAGGAGGAATTGATAACTGACTGAGGCTTTGTTTATCGAATCAACTGACAGGAAATACATGTAATAGGAATGATTCAACACCTGTCCACTCAGATATCTGGAAAATTCTACTACCGCGACGACATCAAATAGGAGAGAATAAAGAAAACTGTAAAACTCAAGTTTCGAAGTCGTGTGATTATGATCGATATGATTCATTTCCATTTTCTCTCACATATTTTTTGAACAATAGGCTCTTGATTAGTTTGTTCATTTCCAGAGTTTCTTACAGGCAGTTCAGCCATCTGGTCTTCAGTATGTAGCAGGAGAAGGTGGCAGCTCTTGATGATGAAAGTTTTCAGTAAGCTATTGGAAATGCTTTCCGTGACGCTGGCGCCAAATTTCTGAATCCACGTTATGTTATGAATGTATATGGAAATACTGATGCATTTAAAAATGGTTAACATTTCATATTAGTGTATACAAGAGGGAAGTTTTATGGTTAATGGTTTAATCACAATCCACGACTACAACACAGATGAGGATTTCAATACCGGAGTCTGTGAAAGGCAAGATAAATCTCTATCACTTTGAAATCAGTTTTGATGAAGTCTTCTGCACTCAGCATAAACAAAAAAAACCCGAGTCCCCTTCAGCGCCAATATTAAATCAGTCAGTTTTTCTATATGAGTCAGGAAATTGGCGTGTCATGGAAAGCATTTCCTGCAGGCCATTACAGACTTGTATCAGCAACTGACTTCACTGGCTCCATATTGAAGATCAGATGGCAGGCGGAAATGATCAATGTGAGGGAACTCAGGTAAAGAACTAACCAAGAATCACCTGGTCAACAAATATATTCTTAAGAAAATGGAGATGGTAACAGGATTTCACCATGAGCTAACATTGGTTGAAGAACCATGGGAAAACCAGCTGGGAGTACTAGATAGCTGTTTCGTCCTAGTTTGATGCTCTGAATCAGTACGCACTCACCCCATAGCCAGGGTTCGAACCCACGGCCTTCTGGTTACAAGGTGAGCTAGCTTGTAGACCATTGAGCCACTGGGAATCGATCCAATGGCCAGCCCATGAATTCTAACTTCTGTCCATTCACGACATTAGCTAGGGGTCGCGCTATGTCCTGGGTTCGAGCCCTGGCTACGGAGTGGGTGCGTACTGATGAAGAGTCCCAAACTAGGCTGACGAACCAGCTGGCTGTCCTGTACTCCCAGGTGGTTTTCCAATGGTTCTCTAACCAATATCAGCTTATGATGAAATCCTGTAACCAATCAAACTCCTACAAACCAACACTTAATAATGGAGATGATTGGGACACAAATTGAGAAGGAATGGCCTGTATTGCATATTTCCACTAATTGTCCTAGTCCGTGGTTTACTGATAAGTTATATAATTTTTTTGCATCATTTCTAAATGAAATATACATTTAAACTAGTTTTCGAGCGTATATAGTATTGGTGGTATGCTATTCTTCAACTGCGTTACATTTACTGCACTTTTATCAGAAAATGTTGTTTGATACGGATGATATCTGCGAAATGTTGTGAAGGATTGAAGGAGATAGTAAGTTCAAAAGTTTAAGATATAGTGTGGTGAGAGCTGTCTGCTAGCCAAAATTGGTAGACAGCATTTTATGTCAATGTTTGCTTCCCAAATATTGGTCATGAGAAAATGACAACAAGAACAAAGACTAACTCAACAACCAATTAAAGCAAACTTGGTTAGCGTGGGCGGATACAAACCGTAAATATATGGTCTGACCTTCAAAGAAATGACAGATTAACTTTTATCGAGAAAATAACCAATCAGAAGACTGTTTGTCTGCTAACAATAACCTATAATAATGCATATAAAAATCTATAAGTATCTGTTGATTTTCTCAATAGACGATCTGTTGCCTGGTCCTTGTCTTCTGTCGTTACAATATTATTAAATCTTCGTGAAATCACAATGCTATATTTTGGCCTAAAATGTCCTAGTATCCACAGGATAAAGTTGGCTCCATTTTAGAGAAGGGATATACTATATAATCGCCTATTGAGGCAACCGCTAAATGACATCGCACACCCATTTGGGGTCAGTCGACTGAGACCCGAATGCGAAAGGCTGAGTTTGACATGCGTCCGGGAATGATATGGAGGCGATCAATATGTGGAGAGGAGGCGAGATCTTATTGTTAGTCGTGTGTCCCACTTTAATAGGACTGTACAAAAGCGGACAAAATAGAGAAATGCTATCGAAGCCCTATGCTCCACTTAGAACTCAAGGAATAATTATTAAAGAAAGAAAGAACAATAACTGTTTACAGTCTGTCTGTCAAGTCTAAAATTTATAGCGTAAAGTTTCTTTTGCAATGATGATAGACGTGTCACTAGATTAATTCTTTTTTCCCTTCACGTTCCCAGCGGAACAAAGAGCTTCAAGCTAGTGGCTTGAAGTTTCTGTAGCAGTGTCTAATTTTTACAGGATGGAGTTGCTAGCCTCATGCCCAACCTTTCCTCTTTACCAGTTTTTTATTTCTGGCTTAGCGAGATAAAGGATTGCGCCGGCCGGGGATCGAACACCGGACCATGTGTGCATGGTCGGTGAGCGTCCTAACTGCTGTGCCACCGACGCATTAGATAATAATTTTTAAATTTTGGCTATATATATTTCTTATTAGATTTTAAGTTTAGTATAGTTTTGAAAATCATCATAAAAATGCTGTTGTATATATTTTTATAATAATTTACAGAATATATAGTTTTCAATGTAAATTCCCTGTTGAATGGATGAACTCACAGAAGAAGAACGTTTACGAGTTGAAAAAAATCGAGAACGTGCTCTAGAACTCAGGCTATCTCAGGTTGTTGCAAATGATCGGTATGTTTGTTTGTTTATGTATTTTTTGATGTAACAGGTACTATTAATATTATATATATATATATATATATATATATATATATATATATATATATATATATAATATTCCCATAATAAAATTTAGAACAACACGTTTAAGCGAACGGTATTGTGCTTTCAATTAGATCTCATCAGACTTAACTCTAACATGCATAACTTTACACATAAAAATTCAAATATAAACCAATCATGGTGTTTTGTCTATAGGATAATAAGATGGTGAATATAGATTGTGCAATTAGTCATAATAGTAGTAATGATAATAATAATAATGGTTTTATCAATAATAAGGATGAAAAGGTGAGGCAATCTGTGATAACACGAATAATGAAAAACAGTATGATTAAACAAACAAATGTTCAGGTGGAAGTAGTCGATAAAGGCTAATAAAAACAAATAAACCGATTAAGTAATGCTAGATTGTAAGGGAAGTAAATGAAACACTTTTTTAATGAAAATGTGATAAGATTAAGGGATGATAAGAGAGGCGTTGAAAATATAAGTAGGTAAGGGGTGGTGGAGGCATCATCAGGTGGTTATGTCTTAATAGGCTAACAAGGCAGGGATAATGGCTGTACGAACTTCTTTTGAATGAGCATAGTTTAGGCTCAATAGTTCGAATGCCTATCGCCTCAGCTGTGTGCAGTAGACGAATACGAAGTATGTAGGAAAGATTCGTTGGGATATGAAGAATTACCTTGAAGGCTCTTGTTCTCTCCACTACATGACCACTATCAACTAAATGTGATAAAAGTGAGCTACGGATAGCTTTTGTCTGTCCTTTGCCAAACCACCACAATGGGAGATATTCAGTAGTGACACGTTGGCTAAGCTGTCTAGTAATACGCCCAACATAACTGTCACCGCAGATGCAGTTGAGTTGATAAATGTACATAAATGTGCCAAAACTGTCTAGTTTATCCTTCGTTTGCGTCCCAAGCATTCATCGGCTACAGAATGACAAACACAGGTATGCTGCGTTAAACGTCCTTCGTAGGCTCCTGGAAAGTCTCTGAAATAAAATCTCACTTGATAAGTCACCATTAAATTGTAACTTAATAAATAGAGGTTTTTTACGTGCAGTCATAGTCTCAGGTTTTCTCTCCTATGTCTTCATATATATTTTTTATGAAACTACACGGATATCCCATCTCCGTCAAGGAATTGTGAATATCTTTCTTGCTCTGCTTGTAAGACGTTTAACAAGATTTCTTTTATATTTTATGGGCACGTAACTAAGGAAGTTTGTGAATGTGCTTTTCCTATACATGCTTCTCCCAAGTGACGCATCTTCTCGCCTACTTAGCAAGACATCCAGGAAATGTAGTTTATTCTCCTGCTCCTCTTCACAAGTAAAAGTAAACGAAGGGTGGACGTTGTTGAATTTCAGCAACAGTTCGTCTATGTTAACATTCCCATCGGCTAAGATAAATGTATCTTTGACATAACGGTAATACATATCCAACTCCTTGATGACGTCTTTTAATTTCTCGTTTTCAAGTTTTGCGAGGAAGAAGTCAGCTTATATTGGGCCTAATAGTAAACCCATAGCTATTCCATCCACTTGTCGATAGTATGAATTATTGAAGACTTGGTAAGCATTCATTGTGTATTTAAGAAGTAATCCTTTGAGGCTAAACAAGGGAATTCCTATTTGAATTTTTATTTGTAAAGTTATGTATATTAGAGTTAAGCCTGATGCGATCTAATTGAAAGCACAATATTGTTCGCTTACATGTGTTGTCCTAATTCATCAAGTAGCTGATCAACAAAACTGTTTATACACTCTAAAATTCAAGCAGAAACAATACAGTTTACTTTAAAACTGTCATTCACGTGCACACTATATAATGTGGTTTATTCTGCATCATAATTTAATAAACAGTGATAGTTCTAGATATTTAGAATTGTTAGGCAGCTTTCTAGATTATGCTTTTAGTAAATGTGATTACATAAGATTGGAAGGAAATTATTCGTTTGAGTAGTTATAAGTTCTCGAATTGGACTTGGAATTAGTGTTCGACTCGTTCACTTTTGATTGGATTGAGGACTTCATCATGAGCTGACATCAGTTAGAGAACCATTGGAAAACCAGCTGGGGAGTACTGGACAGCTGTTTTGTCAGTCTATTTTGTGATTATTCATCAGTACACGTCCACCGCCAGAGTTCGATCCCAGGACCTTCTACTTACAAGGCGATCTAGCTCGTAAACCATTGAGTTACTGGGACTCGATCCAATGACCAGTGCATGAATTCTAACTTCTGCCAATTCACCTTCGATGTTACATCACAAGGCGTAAATTCATTTGCCAATATATGCATATGGATTGGCGATAGTCTATATCAAAGACGATGCTGAACTTGTCACTGATTTCAGAAGTTTACGCCTAACACGCTCAATAATATGCACATTAACCAACGCGGAATATCAGTAAATGAAAGGACAGTACGATTGTTTATTTATTTCTGCATCGATTACGAAACAGGATTACAAGTTACTATGTGGAAATTCTGTGAATACACGTCAATAAGATGTCCAATAATATATATCTGGTCCCATTTCTTCTTCAGTCTTCTGCCAACCAGAATACAATTAAGTGTGATGAGAGCTGTCTGCTAGCCAAAATTGGTAGACAGCAATTCACGTCAATGTTTGCTTCCCAAATATTGGTGATGAGAAAAACAAGAACAAAGATTTTGCGTGGGTGGACACAATTCGCAGATAGATGATCTTTCAAAGAAACGGCCACAAAGAGATGACAGAATAACTTTCAGCGAGAAAACAACCAATGAGAATACCTTGTTTCTCTGCTAATAATAACAAATAGTAATGTACATAAAAATATATGATTTTCTCTTGATTTCCTCAATAAACGATCTGTTGCCTGGTCCCTTGTCTTCTGTGGTTACAAAGCAACAGTTACCATTATCTTCTTTCGCCAAATGGAGGTCAGTTCGAATAAGCGCTCGAATGTCGCTGAATATCCTGAATTGACCAGATGACACACACACACACACACAAATTTCTTTAATTATTATGGTTGTGTTTATGTAGAAGTTGATGACGAATCTTATCGAAAAGGATATTCTTTGTTGATTAATGAGTCTTGTAAGTTTTTAATGGCCTTCTTCGCTCTCAGCGCCATTCGAGAAATCCTTCAAAATCATTTACAAGATTCAATCAAACCTATCAAAGGGAGTAAAATTGAGATATCTGGGTATAGCTGAGGCACTAGCTATCCAAAAGCTCATACCCACACCATCTATCCAAAAGAAAAACGTCTAACCCTTTTCCCTGCCATGGCCATCATAAACAGGTGGTGCTTTTAATAGTGACAATCCCATTGCCTTTCTTATCCAAACTTCCTGTTTATTCATGTTGTTTGCAAGTTTTTCTTAATCCCTATTTACACTACCATATTTTCATATCTGAACTTCCTGTCTATTTTTGTCCTTTTATTATTTTTACATATTTAATCCCTGTTTGCATGAAGAATTGTTCGTCACATTAGTTATGATCCCACTGGATTTTTTATCCAAACATCCTGTCACTTGTTGTTATTTCTACATTTTTAACCCTTAATTGCACAATATGTCAATCTTCTCAGTAATTATGATGCTACTCGTCTGAGCTTTATCCGTTTCCCTTGTTTATTATGGCATTTTAATTCCTAATTGTCATTTTGTTAGTTTGACCCTTGACCAGAAATTATTCTGGAACTTTCCGACCCATTTATTATCCATACACGAATGTACAGCCTAGTTGATGACTTTGTCAAAAAGAAAATTTTTTCGCTTCAACTGTCATAGAGTTTTGTTATTAAAACCTGGAAGTTTTATCAGTACCCATGTAACAGATCAGATCAGCGACAACTAGCTATATTTTAAGGATTTTCTTTGTTGTTATGCCAAATACCTCAAAACACTTGAACTTTGCTGTAAAGATTATTGATTTTCTCCTATTTTTTTGGTGGTACTAATTTTACTATTTTCTTTTTAGCCATGATGTGTATGCAACTGTTCCACAATCAAAGCTTTCACGAAATCACCTAAGTGAAGGAGGCTTTATTCTTGAGGAGGAAGTGTCTAATCACTATCCTTATACTGAAAAGGATGAAGAGTTATCAGATCCAGAGCTGGGTGCAGTTGCGAAGCCAAGAAAGCGTAGACGAGTTTGTCAAAAACAGTCGAATACAGAAATACAGAATCGCTTCATCAATGAACCTGATGTTCCACTCCCGCCTGATCAAGAAAAACCGATATGTGATCTGTGCAGTAAAACCTTTGAAGAATCTTTTTTACGTAAAACATTCGAAGTTGATGTTTGTGATAGATGTCGGTAGGTTGTCAGCTTTATAATTATAACTGAGAAATTTTTAAAAACAGGTTGTAATCATTGGAATTATTTTTTTTGAATTTCCCGCCAATGGATTTCACTGGATTGAAGTGTTTGGTCTATGTTGACGTTCTGGCTGCTAGTGCAGAAACTTACTAGTATGTTATCTACTTGGTAGTGACAAGCAGTAGGACCATGTACTCAGGTTTCCTCCTGTTTAAATACACCAACTGGTGAGGGATCATGCACCACCCTCGATGAATGGCGGTGTTCCCACTAAGATGTGGCACCTATCGCTTCCAATCCCAGTTTTATCCACCCAAGCTACACAGCTCCAGGAGACATAGTGTGTGCAAGCTGTGTCAACTGTTATTAGCTAACGGTCGCTCTATGTCGTGAATTATTGGCGGAAGTTAGAACTCATGGGCTGGTCATTGGATCGGGTCCCAGTGCCTTAGTGGTGTACGAGCTTGTTCTCCTTGTAACCAGAAGGTCCTGGGTTTGAATCCCGATGTGTGCGTACTGATGAAGAGTCCCAAACTAGGACGAAACGGCTATCCACTACTCCAAGCTGGTTTTCCAGTGGTTCCCTAACCAATGTCAGCTCATGATGAAATCCTGTAACCAACTGTTATTTATTTGCTCTAAATGGATGGCTTCAGCGACTGTGGAAATCTTATGGCCTGTGGAAGGTGTTATCATACCCTAAGAATTATTGAAGTTCCGGATTCCATATCTATTCAACGATCGCCTTCTGTTAGTTGCTGATGAATAAACCTCTTAATATTCATTTGTGCAAGTTTTCCCTATGTTTATGAATACGTCGAATTCATCAAAGCTGTGTAAAACTTGCCACTTTCCCTTCTCATTTATTTAACGTTTCACTAATACGTTACTCAAATGTTGTTGTAGTGATGGAAATGGTATCCTACTACTGAAAATTCCAAAAGCTTCTTTGATTTTAACAGTATCTTCATGGAAAAAAACCCTTCATCCCTCTGAGTTCAGTTTGGAAATCTTCTGAACTCAGCATGAAGAACAAGAAGATTCAGATTTTCACCACCAATGTGGGTGCTTCTGTATGGGTCATAAACTTGGCCAACGCTTCAATGAAAATCAGTAGCCCTTGCTTCACTGGCTCCACATACTGAAGACCAGATGGTGACGGTTAGGTGACATCGTGTACCTGGCAGGGCCCTCCAGTTCAACCTAAATGGAAAACGATGAGTTGGGCGTGTGTTGAAGAGTGACTTGTAGGTGGTTGCGTGAAGAGGGGATGATAGTCTGCGGGCAATCGTGGGGCCATCTTAAGGGGATTTCAGAGAACCGGGGGGGTAAATGGAGTCCGCCCGGAACTCGAGGGAATAATAATATCATATAGTGAGACTTATTTTGTATTTAAACAAAGAAAGAAGAAACATTGGCGCAGAATAATCTGGATCTGTTTTATTTCGTCGGTTCTCATCAGCTGCGTACAACCTGAATTCTTTAATAAAATAATAAAGTGTATAATTTTAACAAACTTTTGTCCACTAGCAAGCATTTTGTCAGAGCGTCATAGTGAAATAAGGCGTTGGGATTTACAAGGTGTCTAAAGTGTTACGACATATATATATCTTGTTAGAGAGAAGTTCCTTGAAAGAAAATTGATTAACTGTTGTGTTGTTGGGGTGGTAAGAAAATACAATTAGTAATAGTTACGTAATTAGATAAGAGAAGATCAAAATTTCGGTGCACATGAGGTCAGATGAGAAGTTCATGTTGTAATACAGTGAGCAGAACCCAGTAGATCAAGACAAATTATCTCTTAAGAGAGTCAAGCGAAAAATAGAGGGGGGGAGGAGTGAAAAGATAAGTTTATAAAATTATAAGACAAAGAATTACTAAGAAGTGAGTCACCAGGGTAGTTGAAGTCTAACAACGGAATCTTTTTGAACACTTAAGTCAGACTTCAATCGTTTTGTTGCTATAGCTTCAGCAAACCTGAGAAGATTTGAGGTACTTTGTCTGTTAATTATTTGGAATGATTCCAGTACATCTACTCGGTGTCCTGTGTCAATCAGGTGTTTGGCGGCGATTGAAGAGCTTAAACAGTTCGGTCCCTTTAACCAGAGGCTCCTTGGTACATGTTCGCAGAATCTGACGTAGGCCCTCGTCTCTGTTATTCCATTGTAATTGCTCCCGCAGATACATGTTAATTGGTATACACAGTTGCAGGTAACATGTGAGGGGTAATTGTCAATCTCTGAGTGCCCCAGTGAGGAGGTTGTTTAGGTTAGAGAGTACACTTTTTATTTTATTAAAGAATTCAGGTTGTACACAGTTGATGAGAACCGACGAAATAAAATGGATCCAGATTATTCTGCGCCAATGTTTCTTCTTTCTTTGTTCAAATTTATAAAAGAAAATCATTGTATGAGCTTATTTTGTGGTGGTCGTAGAATTATTACATGAATAAAAGCCTTCTATTATGAACGGGTAGGCATATATATGACTTGTGCAACTTCTATACAAATGGCTTAGCAAATGAGTTCAACATTCCTATCCTTCTTATCACAAAATATATCCTGGACCACTGTATTTATTATGTTCACAACGTCTTTAAAGGTGGAGAGCATGTTAAATTTCCTATGGCAATTTATATACCATCTTTGTGCTTTGCCTACAGTTGGTTAGTCAGCAAAACCTGTCAGTTTTTCCCTTGGTCAACAGCCATTTTTAACCTTTGGTATCATAGTCAACTGTGCGTCGGTGGCACAGTGGTTAAGACTCTCGCCGACCATGCATATGGTGCGAGGTTCGATCCCCTGCTGACGCACACCCGATGTCTACGGTCGGCCTGCAAAATTTGGGCTGAAATTTCCATACTTGTACCAAAAGTACAGTGTGGAATCAAGCTGTAATAAAAAAAACTGATTTCTCTGCTTATATTTATGCCGTTAATCAAATTATAACTTGTGCTAATCAGTTTTGACTGACTGAATTCTATTTTTGAGTGTAAATTGAACTGTTCTCTTCTCTCTGGTCCAACTGAAGTTATGTCTCATTGTTTCTGGAGGTGTTTGAATGATTGTCACTTCTTGGCTGTCCACACCGTAGAAGTTGTTTATTCTTGGGGCACCTGAAACAATCAGTACCCTGGGGATAACTGCTTGAAGCCTATCACATATTGCCTGTTTGAATTGATTATTAGATTTGTGTCCGTTTTAAGAACTTGCCACACTGGTTACAGACCACCGTAGGGTAAGTTGAGAAGTACAATTTTCGGGGTCGACCTTTCTTTACCCCCCCCCACTTTCTCCAGAGTGGAGAGACAGCATAGCTGACTGGCATGCTGGTCATCTGAAGGGAAACACCCTATTGATGTTACACTCTCGGTTTCGCCTACAGACCCCATAGCATAGTGTAAACATCTTTGATGATTAGATACTAGTCAGTGATTAGTGTAGTGCGTCTAATCCTTCGTTTGGTGCAGATTGAATTCTATTGGTTCAGTTTGCAATGTGAACAGCATTCTAGGTGAACTAAGATTAGACACACTACAGTGGTCACTGACTAGTGTCCAATCAAAGTATCCAGTACAGTCGTATAAGGGATCAGTTACGAACCCGAATAGCTCATTGGTAACCTCCCCTGACTGCAGTACCGGGTGACACGGGGGCGAATCACAGAAGGAATATGAAGACCTTTCAGGTTGTACATACTTCTTGCTGACTGGTGAATGCCAACTAGTACGAAACCTAGGTCAAGCAAGGCTTCCTGTGGCTGATTGCTTCCAACCATCCAATGCAAAAAACATCTAACACTATGCCGGTAAGTGCTTTTAGTCTAATTGCTATCCTAACAAGCATTCTGGCATGATAGGACCTCTAGGAACACTAGTGATACGTATCCATATATATATATATATATATATGTGTATGGTGATCTCTCTTTCTGTTGCTCTCTTAGTCTGTGACCATTTCACTTTGATGAACCTGTCTCCTTTAACAATGTATATTCCCCTTATATTATATATAATATGAGTGTTTGTTGACAGTCCGTTGCTTGGTGACATATATCCATATTATATGTGTGGTTGTTGACATATCTGCTATATTTTGCTATGTATATATGGATCGATACTCCATCATAATTAGCCATTCATGTTAAGACTGTCTAATGATTTGTTCACATCCTTGTCTGGACATTCATATATATATTTCGCTCTCACAATCTTGTGGACTTATTGGCTTACTTTGGTGTGATACCACTTATTGCTTCTCCTTGTGTTTGGAAAATACAAGTATCATCGCAAACCTAGTGGTCTTCTGATTTCCGCCTTCTTGCGTCAGGACTATTAAATTCTCGACCAGTACATAACAATAATTTGGCGACGAGTACATGACAATTTGGCAACGGGGAAAACTACTATTAACCACTCAGCAGCAGCAACATAACAACTACTTCCAGCCACGTTAAGGTAGTAGCTATCAGTCGGGAATATCTCAGTGGTGATAACTACCTCCCATCAGTACGATTCATCTTTCGTTTTAAAGTATGTTACTTTCCTTTACTGTGGTTGTGGTTCGAAATTGCTTTAGCGGCATTCTGTGAAAGCCTTTTCTTCACAAATTCATAGATAATATAGAAACTTGTGTACATCGGTACTCAATACAGTTAGTCTGAGTAATATTTTTCTAAACGTTTTCTGACGTCTACATAACCAGTAATAATAATATCTTTTTAGTACAACTACTGAATATAACTGTCGACTTATGTTGTAGTCATTCTCATTTTCACTTAACACTTCTGGTTACAACTTCAAAAAAATCCAACTGAAAACGAATTGTATTATCGGTAAAATTTGTTTTGATAAAGCCTCACAGTGTTGTTGTTATACAGTAATATTTGCTCTGATGACCATGGTTAGAGCGCAATTTATTGCTGCTCAGAATCATATCAAGACACTATTCACACAACTTTCTAACTACGTTTATATAATTCCACTATTTCTCATCGCTTGATTTGATTGGTAGTAGTATTTTCCATATTTCTGGTATGAGTGATGAGTCATTCCTATTGCATGTGTTGGGTGTAGATTATTCGATGAACAAGGATTCAGTAATCAACCTCTCTCTATCTCCACCTATCTAGATTACTTTTAGAATTTTAGCCCTCTCCCACACACCCTATTGTGTGGTTGTGTATTAATGCATGCATTACAATCGCTGAGCTTTTTTCTAAATTACTTAACTTCTCGGGTGAGGTCAACTATTCCTGCCTAAGCTAATATGGTGGAGATATGTGGATGACACTTTCACAGTGTTAAAAACAGAACATATCTCTCTCTAGCTTCTTGACACATATAAACTCACTAGTAGAGGGAATAAAACTCACATTTGAATGGGAAAATAAACAAGGAGAATTAGTTATCATGTTAGATTGTAAAATAAAACAAAAAGAAGAAGGTAGAATGCACACTAACGTTTATAAAAGGCCAACGCATTCTAAGAGATATTTAGACTACAATTCATCTCATCCGTTAACTGATAAGGCAGGCTTAGTTAATTGTCTAACAAACCGAGCAATAGCACTAAGTAGCACAAGAAAAGACCTAAATGATGAAATAAAACAGATAGAAGAAACGTTGGTATTAAATAACTATCCTTTAAAATTCATTAGGAAGATCAGTAAAGACCAAAAGCAAAATAAAAATAATTGTGAAATTAGTAATGATAACATAAATAAGAGAGAATATAAGTCATCCACTGCTATACCATATGAGGAGGGGACATCTGAGACCCTACTTTGTAGGATTCTGAATAAAGCAGGAATTACAGTGTGGCGTTCAAAACTACATACTCACTCAGAGACATGCTCTGTAGGCCAATGGACCTGGTGGACCCAATTAGACGAAATGATATAATTTACAAAACACTCTTCAATGACTGTCAGGTCGACTATATAAGTCAAACTGGTAGACCGGAACATAAGAATTTAGCTAAGGCAAGAATGATTGACCCCGAGAAGTTAAGTAATTTAGAAAAAAGCTCAGCAATTGCAATGCATGCATTAATACACAACCACACAATAGGGTGGGTGGGAGAGGGCTAAAATTCTAAAAGTAATCTAGATAGGTGGAGATAGAGAGAGGTTGATTACTGAATCCTGGTTCATCGAGTCTACTACACGCAACACGTGCAATAGGAATGACTCATCATTCATACCGGATATATGGAGAATACTACTACCAATCAAGTCAAGCGATGAAAAATAATGGAATTATATAAATGTAGTTAGAAATTTGTGTGAATAGTGTCATGATATGATTCTGAGCAGCAATAAATTGTGCTCGAACCATGGTCATCAGAGTAAATATTACTGTATAACAACAACACTGTGAGACTATCAAAATAAATTTTACCCATAATGGAATTATACTCCACCACAGTACACAAGTTTTATTCTTATATCAATGAATAATAATTGGTAAGAGACAGTGATGTTCTAAGTTGGCGGTAGAATTCTCGGCTGACGCAATCCTAATCCTTTCTGAGCCTGTAGTAAGCTTGGTAAATATGGAAAGTTGGTAGAGGGACTAGCAACCTCATCATATTGAGGAAAACAGTATTGCTACCATTGCCAGTGAAATTGTACAGCTGAAGCTTCAAGTCCTTCCTATATTCTACTGGGAATATATTGAGCTTCAGCAGTGCACATCTTCCTTCATTGGACTCTGTTTTCTTTGCCGCTTTTGTTACATGGTTTCATGACTGTATCCATTAACTTTCATTCCCTCTTCCTTCCATATCAGTGTAGAATGCACAAATCTCAGCTCGCTGCCTAAGTTCCTCATTCAACTGCCTGGAGTATGAAACCACATGAATGTCTCCTCAGAGTATCTCTAATCTATAGATTCTGGTGTATACCATAATAAATTCGGGGGTTTGAGTTCTGAAAAGCAATGCAAAACATTACCGCTAAAAAAGTGATATACGCACTTCTGTGCCATATCCCCACGTTTAATTGTCAACTTGGCCTGCGTCCTCAGCTTTGTACATCATGAGAACATTCCACGTTTCAATGCTTATTTTTATTTTCATCGACAGAAGACACATCGACTGGATTGACTAGGTTCCCGAAGGCTTTCACCAGCCTTCTGTGTCGTTTCATCTCTCCGATTCCAGCGGAGAAGTTTCTGTAGAGATTGGATGTATTTTCTGGAGATAGGGTCGTTAGCCCTAAGCCCAAACTTCGCTCTTTTCCCGGGCTAAGGGCCGGTTAGAAAACTAGTGAACGAGACGAGGTTTGTGCGTCGGTGGCACAGTGGTTAGGATTCTCAACGACCATGCACATGGTCCGGGGTTCGAGCCCACACCGGCGCACACCTGATATCTATGGTCGGCCTGCAAAATTTGGGCTACCGATATCCATGCTGAAAATTCCATACTTGTAACAAAAATACAGTGTGGAATCAAGCTGTAAATCAAAAATAAATAAAATATAATTCAACCTTCCATTTTCACACTTTTCTGTAGAGATCCGAAGAATATTCATGCATTGATTACAAAGAGTACAGCAAAAGAACGCTATTTATTAAATGATATCGATTTGGATAAACGTGAACCCAAGTTGAATTATCTCCTGAAACGTAATCCGCACAATTCAAATTGGGGAGACATGAGATTATATTTAGAAGCCCAGGTAATTGATTCCTTCCACCCACTTTTAAAAAAAAATTAATTATACTTTGTGCACTTATATTATACATTGCACTTTTTTCACTGAAAGCTTTTAATACCCCCAAAAAATTTACTGATAAATATGTTAGGTGTGTAACGACAGAAGATAAGAGTTAGGCAACAGATCGTTTATTGAGAAAATTAACAGATATTTATAGATTTTTATGTGCATTATTATTCGTTATTATTATTATTAGCAGAGAAACAGTGTCTTCTGATTGATCGTTTTCTCACTGAAAGTTAATCTGTCATCTCTTTGTGGCGCGGATTCTTTTAAGGTCAGACCATACATTTGTGAATCGTATCCGCCCACGGGAAGTCCGCTGTGACTGGTCTTTGTTCTTGTTTTTTTTTCGTATGACCAATATTTAGGACGTAAACATTGACGTAAAGTACTGTCTGTCTGTCTGTTTTCGACATAGAACTTTGCACCGATGTGCAGCAATTCAAGTCGCCACACTCCACTCTATGTAGCACACAAAGAAAGAGAAGAAAAAAGAAGAAATACACAATAGAGACAGTAAACAGAGGTGTGAGACAAAGGGATAGTAGTAACGAAGAACAAAACAGTTTCATTGGAAATCATAAGTCACAAGGAGTGGATGCATCTGTGCCATTGAGAACAATTCGGAGCTAGCTATATCACCAATTGTTTCCAGTCCCAATTGGTGTTTACCGTCCCGAGGACCCCAACCAGTCAGGAAGTGTACACCCTCCTACGTGACTGGCTTAAACTAACTGTTGTAGATTTCATTGACTGATGCCATGTTTTGGTTTGACCGCCATTAGCTCTTTTCCAACCTGATCCGTCTTATGTCGGCTAACACTACCCGTTGTCGAGGAAAGCGATGACTAGGCATACGTAACACGTGTCCTAACCATCTCAATAGATGTAGCTTCACAGAGTCGTCGATTGATTTCCCCTGTTTACCTAGCACTCGATGCCTAACCTGAATATTGCTCACCTTATTATACCACTTCACACGAAGTGATTTCGGTAAATGTAGATGACTTCAAAGGCTGAGGCTGTAGAGATAGATGTTCAATGATCACGCTTCTTATTGCTCCACTTCCACCTCTTCGTAATGACCATGCAGGATAGTGTTCTTGCACCGTCTGGGACAAAACTTGAGTCGAACGGCAGATACACCTAGCTCCACAGGAGCAGGTGAATTGATAAACGCACATAGAGTTGGTCAACAGCGGGATCTTGTCGTTCAGGTTATTGAACAGTAATGGTTGACTGGTAAAGGCTATTCTCAAAGATGCAACAAGGAATGCTCTTTTCAGGGAATGTGATATCCTTCTTTAATGATATCAGAAGCTAATTCACCCTTAAATTCCAAGCTCATGTACATTACTTTCTTGGGTACGGATGATGATTTGAATGTGTATTCTTGTCTATAAAACGCAGTGGAAATCCATTTTCTATAAAGATTTTCCTCAAAAGATATAACTCTTCCTACACAGTATCAGGGCTGCATATGTGCCGAATGTGCCTGGCAAGTGACCGAACCAGGTTTCGTTTTCGAACAATGGGTACCCAGCTGTAGAAATTCGTCAGTTGACCATTCCATGACAGCTTCCGATAAATCGATCTCTTTAGAGTTCCATCGGTCCTTCTTGATAAGTTCACATCGAGGAAATGAATACTAGACTAGTTCTGCATTTCGAGTGTGAATTTTATCGCAGGATGGTAACCATTATATATATTATTTAAATTACAATCACTATTACAAATAATAAAGGTGTCATCTACATACTTTTTATACATTTAAAAGCTTTGGATTGTCGGCTTCAACTGGCCATTTTCTAGGCTGGACATTTTATTCGATTTGTCTACTAATCCTATAATTGCACATCCTTTTCAAAGTGTTAAGCCAGATAAATGGCGCTTACCTCCCATTTGATAGTTTAATCGTGCTAGTAGAAAGAAATAAGCCTTGAAAGCTGAATTATTTTTTCTTATATTGTAAACTACAAAATGAAAAACAACACGCATTTTATTTCTTGTTTAGGTTGCTGAACGTGCTTTAGAAATATGGGGAAGTGAAGAAGCCTTGGAAGAGGAACGTGAACGGAGAATCAAACGTAATGAAGAATCTAAGCTAAAAAGTTATAGTAAAAAGGTTAAAGGTAACTATCACTTCATTTTACTATATATAAACTTTCGCTTTTTTAACGGGTTGGTGGGTGGGTGAGTGGTTGGGGTTGGTAGGCGGTCTCTGTCATATTTATTACCATTATGGATAAAATTTATTTTGATAAAGTTTCACGGTGTTGTTGTTATACCTTGGCGGCCTGCTTAAATCTTGGGCTACCAATTACCTTAAACATTACAAATCATATTGCATCTAATTTCTCATTTCTAATTGATATTTTAATCAATAAATCTTATTCAAATATGACCTCAAATCGGATTATTTATTCTCGTGAATATCTAATATCTTTAAAACCTACTGATCTGCAACTCCATAAAAAAGACAAAAAAAAGCATCATGCCGGCTGGCAGAGAGCATTAAAAAATACCCCTATTCAATTCATGACTGTTCCCGCAATTATGAGTACCAATTGTCGCTCCCTGCCGGCTAAAATTAACTGTCTTCAATCGCTGGTGTCTTCCATTATATATCATAATACTGGGATCATATCACTTCAAGAAACATGGCTTCATGATCTATATGATGACAATCTAGTGTATCTAAATAATTTCAAACTATTCAGACAAGATCGGTGTAGTTCCAGGAAGAAACGCGGTGGCGGTGTCGCCATCTTCATCAATTCACAATGGTGTACGTCTAATAATGTATGTTTCAAATTCTCTAGTGACAATATTGACTGTCTCACCGTTAAGTGTCGACCTAAACATTTGTCAAAATACAACTACATTTACATCTCGAACATGTATATTGCTCCTGGATGCAACTCCACAGAATTATCTTTATTTGCGGATGAATTTACTTCCCTTGCTGCCACCTCCTTCGGAAATTCCTTGTCTATAGTTACTGGTGATTTTAATTCTAGTGACCACAGCTTCCTAATTTCACTTGGACACGATAATATTGTCAACTTCCCGACTAGAATGGACAACACTCTTGACCTTGTTTTCACAAACGATGCAGGAATATTTGAAGCTCGAAAAAGAGCCCCACTACTAAATTCAGATCACTGTATCATAAGAATATTGCCCAAAGTATATGGAAAGCAGCACAAAAGGGTCTTCTCATACCTTGGAAAGAAAACACAACACAGATGTTATTCCCATGACAACATACTGAACCTAAGGTCCATGTTAAAAGACACAAACTGGGATCTATTTACTGAACAAGCTCTTGATAACACAATTGCCAACATAACACATTATCTTAATTTCTGTCTTGATGTTTGTTGTCCAAAAGAGACAATCTTCTTAAAATTCGATCGCTTCTCCTCTTCTCAACTCAAAAAGCTCCGCCGTGAAAAAGAAAGGTTGTTCAAAATGAAAAACAAATCTGGTGTTAAGAGAATGAACACTTTGATTAAGCTTGAATTACAAAGATTGAATGCTCTCTATAACCAGAAGTTTCTTTCATGTAAATCCCCATCAAATATGTGGAAGTTATTAAAGGAAATCACAGGTGGTAAGCAAATGTTGAATGATATTTCTGTAGATGTTAATACGCTTAATGAATCCTTCATATGTATCCCAGCAAATGTTATGATTCCTAACTCAAATAGTGTAAACAATGACTGCTTCTCATGCTTTAACACGAATGATGTCCTCAAGTGTCTTCAATCTCTCAAGCCTACTCAGTCCCTCGGTCCTGATGGTGTTCCTGCTGTTATCCTTAAGAGTGTGCCGACATCTTGTGTTCCCCGCTAACTGACATTTTCAACGAATCGTTTTCCAAAAGTATTATACCTGAATCATGGAAAAACATCAAGATCGTTCCAGTGCCTAAATCTACAAGTGGACCTAATGTTAAGTTTAGACCCATTTCAATTACCTCACCCTTTTTGAAAGTTATGGAAAGACTTATTTTACTTAATCTTGATCCCTCTTTAAAACCTTTCAACGACCCCAACCAGTTTGCTTATAAACATAGTAGGAGTACGTTAGATGCCGCTGTCGTCCTCCACCATAGCATAGTCTCTAGTTTAGATAAAGGAGCTAAATACGTTCGCTGTGCCTTCCTTGATTACACATCTGCATTTGACTCTGTTCCCAGGTCTCTCTTGCTAAGTAAGCTTGCTGCAACACAGGCTGAAAGCTGGACAAATAAGTGGTTGCATTCCTATTTTTCTGAAAGGAAGCAGTACACCGTCTACAATGGAAAATCCTCCACTACCTCACTTACTTTAGCTGGTGTTCCTCAAGGTGCTGTTCTTTCTCCCTTTCTGTTCTCGTTTTTCTTACATGACTTGCCTCATTCTGATGTAGCCACTTTTGTTAAATATGCCGATGACCTCTCGGTTTCTATGCCTGTCAACTCTCAGTCAGATTGTTCCAAATTAAATAGCTTTCTGTCGGAAATTAGTCAGTGGTCCTCTTCAAACGGACTTAAGCTTAATCCGTCTAAATGTCAGGTAGTCAATTTCACTTTCAGACGTAAATGTGACCTACAGCAACTAGTTAGCTCACATGGCCCCACTCTCATTGACGGCACAGAGGTTGAAAATACATCTTATGTCAAGTACCTTGGGCTGAGTTTTTCCACCGATCTTTCCTGGTCTTCCCACATCTTGCTAGTTACTAGAAAGATGTTTCGCTTAACGTTCTACATTAGGAAATTTAGGCAGTCTGGCATAAACCAGTCTTTACTTTCTCAGTTTGTAAATTCTTGTATTCTACCCATCCTCCTTTACTGCTCCCCATTAGTCTTTCCTGGACTACTTAAGAAAGACTTTGCTTCGCTGAGAAGGGCACTAAAAGCTGTTAGTAGGGCAAGTGGGATATCGTTAAACCAACTGGTGAACACTATTGTAGATAGACATATTATATCATGTAAGAAACTAGCGAATACAATATTGTCGGACCCCAAGCATCCTCTCTATACGCATCTATCTCCTTGCATTTCATCTGGTAGAACTAGAAGCAGCTATAGGCGGCTATATGCTAGGACTACCAAATACAAAAAGTCCACAATACCATATCTGGCACAGCTGTTATGTGATGAGAAATCCGTTAGGTATGACACGATAAACTTACTGCGGCACTCTAACAAATAGTCCCATTAGTTTTTGTTTTCCTTTCCTCGTTACTACTACACTGTTGTTCTCATTTACTACCACACATCAACTTTATATTTCAAATCCTGTGTTGCATTGTTTGAAATGAAATACTCTACGTTGTTTTTTTTCTTAATTTCTAATATTTATTTATTTTATTTATTTATAACTTATTTATTTTATTTTTATTTATTTATCTTTGATTTTTAAAAATCTTATATAATTTATGAGGTAATTAGATGCAATATACTGTAATGCACGCTGAAAATTCCATACCTGTACCACAAATACTGTTTGGAATAAAGCTGTTATTATTATTATTATTATTATTATTATTATTATTATTATTATTATTATTATTATTATTATATCTACTGATGACCATGGTTCACACATTATTCACACAACTTTCCAACTTAGTTTATATAATTCCACTATTTCTCATCGCTTGATTTGATTGGTAGTAGTATTTTCCATATATCCGGTATGAGTGATGAGTCATTCCTATTGCATGTGTTGCGTGTAGTAGACTCGATGAACCAGGATTCAGTAATCAACCTCTCTCTATCTCCACCTATCTAAATTACTTTTAGAATTTTAACCCTCTCCCGTCCACCCTATTGTGTGGTTGTGTGTGTGCGGTGCAATCGCTGAGCTCTTTTCTAAATTAATTATCTTCGCAGGTGGGGTCAACCATTCTTGCCTTAGTTAAATACTTATGTTCTGACAATGTGAATACCCTTGACCTACTACTTTGACCTATGTGGTTGACCTAACTCACAGTCATTGCAGAGTGTTTTGTAAATAATATTATTTTGTTTAATTGGGTCAACGGGGTCCTTCAACCTACAGAGCTTGTCCCTGAGTGAGTTTGTAGGTTTCAATGCCATCCGAATTCCTGCTTTATTAGGAATCCTACGTTGGGTCTCAGGTGTCCCCTCTTTATATGGTAAAACTACTGTAGATGTCTTATTTTCTCTTATTTATGTGATCTTTATTAGTTTCAATATTATTTAATTTTGCCTTTGGTCTTTACTCGTCTTTCTAAAGGAATTTTATAGGATAGTTACTTAGCACCAACCAGCCATTCGTCTATCTGTTTAATTTCATCGTTTAGGTATTTTGTTGTACTACTTGGTGCTACTGTAATGAAGAAAAGACCGATGAGGCTCGAAGGCAGTGTTTGTTAGGACAAGCGCATTGTAGGTAGCGCAGGTTGAAGATAAGGCAGTAACTCATCGAAGAAGACATTGCGAAATGGTCGCTCTATCTCGTGAATTACTGGAAGAAGTTAGAATTCATGCACTGGCCGTCGGATCGCATCCCAGTGGTCTACGAGCTCGCTGGCCTTGTAACCAGAAGGTCCTGAGTTCGAATCCGAGTGGGCGCATACTGATGAAGAGTCCCAAACTAGGCTGACGAAACAGCTGTCTGGTACTCCGAGCTGGTTTTCCAATGGTTCTCTAACTTACGTCAGCGCATGATCAAGTCCTCCCTTCAATCAAAATAAATCCTTACAAAACCAATACTTGAAACTTCGATTTACCATATCTCCAATGCTTTATTTGCACATCATTTGTAAGTTGGTCGAATATCAGCACATTCGATAGTTTGTTGGATTCTGTACAGTGTTTCTAACGTTTTTCTCACAGTTATATTCTTCGATTGCTTTTTGCAGTGTCCGAAACATATTGTGGCTTTTCTGAATTCGTTTATTGATATACTACTTATATCTGGTTGTAAGTAGCACTCACCACACTATTGCTTGGTTTGTTAGAAACTTAAGTAAACATACCCTCAGAGATAATGGATGAAATGAATTAAAGTTTAAATATCTGTTAGAATTAATTTGCTTTTTATAAACTGCACCAGTGTGTAGTATACCTTGTTCTGTTCCTATAAATTTTACAATCTAATGTAAACTTGTT